AAATAAGAGGACTTACTAATTTTATCAGATTTGGTGAGACTTATAAGACAAATGAAATGGTCTACTCACTCGACTGCTTTCCTGTCAATGATTAGTCTAAAATGTGGTGCAGACGAAATCTGCAGAGCAAGATGAAAGAATTCAAAGCATACACAAGTACTCTGTTGCGTATCACCGAACTTTCTAACGAAGGTGGATACATTCTTCAACATCCGTTCGCCATACACTCGTTATCATAATTTTCAGTGGCACTGTATCGAGAGTTTTAATGAAGACAAGTACTAGAGTATACACAAAAAGATTGTAATCTTAACTGTGAATTTAAAGCGAGTTGAAGAAAAACTACTAAACACAACAGGTCTAAAACTTCAACAAGACACAATCAAGAACTCCAATTCGATGTAAGCAGTATGAGGTTATACTGTATTATTATGATATATTTACACTGAGCATAGTGTTTAACTGTACAATAAATGTGCTGTTTATTCACAATATACCCCTGACACATTGACTGACTGTCTATGAGTCTACAATGTAATCTAGGTTTATTTGCAATTCTGTTAGATCTAAATTGTTCAATTTTATGAATTTCATCTTCTTCATCCATCTAAAATTCTGATTTGTCTAAAGAATCGTTATTAACAGGAGAATAATTAAAATCGAATTGGGACTATCTTTCGGAAGTTCATAACTAAGTTCAATTGGAGAATGATCAGGATTAAAATCGTAATCACCTATTACATCAATCTTTCCCTGGTCTGCATATGTGCTGTGCACTGGGTGGTTATTTAAATCACGAATCATCACCATTGGAATTATAATCCCCGTAGATGATTGGTAATCCTTTCCTCAGTAAAACTGTACTTTTCATGGTGTTTCACCCATTAAATAAGCTTGATACATTATGGCCGTTGTGTTTAGCGTACTATCATATGTCCTATAATCTTCTGCATAATGATACTAAAGCAAGAAATCATAGGTGCATCTTTTGGCTTTCCTAGATCACTTGGATTAACTGATTTGATAGCACTCTTTAAGATGATCTGCCAGAGTGTTAGACTGACGATGTCGTGGGGCTGTACATAGATGATGGCACCCAAAGTCAGTGAGCCAGTTGCTGAACTCTTTTTCTGTGGAGTCGGTTAGGTCGTCCTTCACTAATACATCAGGTATTGCTTCACAACAAAATATCCTCTTCATCGTTCTTTGAGTAGTTTCCTCTGTGACTGTTCGTGAATTCCACTTCTGGCTATTTGAAATATGAACAAACAATAACCAAAACGTGTTTTGAGTTTAAGAATGGGTAAAGGTAATCCATATGAATACGCTGCCACGATTCACAAGACGCAGGCCAAGGATCCCAGGTAGGTTTACTGTACGATGACCTATGTAAACAACCCGGACATCTTTTCAGTAATCGACTGGTATCAACGCCAATCTCAGACCACCAATAAGTCTGACGAACAAGTGATTTCATTGCCTCTGCTTACAGATGGGCTGAGGGAATGCAATCTAATAATCAGATCCAATTGTGGAGGGAATGATTGCTCTGTCATTAAAGCACAAAACGCCTTCAGGATAAAGTGATATGTCTCCGGTACTTTTGTAGATCTCAGTAAACCTACACTTGCACTGAATATTCCAACCTCTTTCCAGTCTTAAAATGCTTCACAAATTCTGCCTTATCAACCGATAATGGTTGAACAAATATACAATCACTTTCGTAAGCGGTATTTCGAAATATTAATAGCGTGATAGAAAATCTGTGTGCGGTATGCTCATAGTCACTCGGTGCTCACTGATGAAATCACAAGCACTTGTAGTAGCATTGGTTTCTAACCATAGGACCTTTGAAGCCGAGCGTATAATTATTGAAAAGATTTATATTCTATAATTAACACGAAGAGAAGGTCAACAACGGTGTACGTGGGAAGATTCCATTCATTCATTTCGGATTGCATGGCTCAGCCTTGCAGATGTGGTCATTCTAGTGTAAATTATCTCATCTATACGTAATAAATGTATTGTTCGATCTTCAGCCTAAATGTGTTCTTTAGAAACGTTAAATATTATATTGACGATTGTTGCGACACGACGAGTCAGAATAGACAATGATTTGACTTCCATGTAATATCTTATTAATTAGGTTTTCACATTATGACACAACTACAATTTTAGGATTAGGTCTGTCACTATAGCATGACTAATAACGAAGTATATGAATTATAGTATGAACTAGGAATCCCAGAAATAACGTAATCGAATCAAGAAGTACTAGATAAACACAAACGAATGTACTGTATTTGGAATTCGAAATTAAGCATTCAACAAGTACAAAGGAATCATTAGTTCATTCAAACACCACAATATACCATAATTCAACACACTCAACTGTAACTTTAAAAGTCGTTCATTATTCAACTTAGTATTTTAGACATGAACTGCAATATCATCTTGATACGATTCAAGACCGGTGATAATCTGATTTACAACCTTCTAGAATATCGCAGGGGGAATATTAAATTTGAATTGTATGAATTTATACTTTAACATTTCGAATGATTTATGAATAGTTGATAGTAGAATTTATACTCATTTGTTTGTGTTACCAACTGTTGATATTCAGAACTGTGTTTATGCATGTTCATTTTCAGCTGATTCCCTCCATCCGGTCACTTTATTGAGGGCTTTTGTGTTTATAAATTGTGATTAATAATGAAATCTAAGATACAAGTCTCTTTTTATTCGAAGTTCATCAAATAAAACTATCGACATCTAATTGTTAATGTTTACAGTTAAAACTGATGCAAAACACACATCTCTTTAAATAATGAGTCCACATATTCACCTTGTATATCAGGTACAAAGTTTAATTGAAGGATGTTTGGATTATTCCATTGTTAAAACAAGACAAGTCTCCTGGATTTCAATTCCAATCTTTATCCCAATATAGTAATTTCACAGACTAATAAAATATGAGAAAACTCTTTTATGTATTCAATTACGAAACGACCGTCAAGTGCTTCCAGGTTTCCCGTGGTGGTCTAGCTTAAATCGACTGATGAATTTGAGCATTAAATTACTACAATTTCCACAAACCCTCATTCTGACAATAAATTTAATGATTGACTTACGTAGTAGTATCCTAAAACATAGAATATAAATGACTGACAACGGTGTAGCGTGGCGTCGACTCGAGATTAACTATGAACACCGCTACCACGAAACACGTGCCAAGTAAATCAGAAGGCGAAGGTTGAACGTAACCAAATAAATCCATAAAATCCCCAAGAAGCCAAATATCAGAAGGCAGTTAATGGACCAAGTCGAGATATATTTGCTGGCGATCTCGTGGTATCGAAAGGATACAGAGTTCGTGCCAGGATACAAGCTTGGTTACAGAACGTAACCGAATTCGCGCGAAGTCACAATCAAAGTGTGTGTATCAGAATGGAAGCACAATATAGCTGTCATTAGCACAGTTAAACAAAGAGCATATTAAACAAGCACAGGTACAATTGGTTATAATAATAATAATTGTTTACATTAAACCACTCGTGTTCTCGTGATAAAAGTGAGTCACTACAACGGTAATACAATAGTTAAGTATATTATAAAGATTAGTACTTCTTTAGTCGTACGGCATATTTTCAAACCCTGAAAGACTGCCTATATACACAACAAAACGTGAAGGACATAACGATAAATGCATATCGTTGTACAGTTAAACTACTTGTAATTGACATTCAGGATGAGTAGAAAATTCCCTGAAACTTACTTGCACCTGTTATCCCTCATGGAGAAGCACATACTAACCATTACCATTCTCCATCCAAATCTGTCCCGAATACCAGCTCAGTGGTCTGCAGATTAAGTGTTCCTAATTGAGACTGAATATTCTGGGTTCGATTCCCTTTGATGTGGGACCACAGATACTCACTGATGAGGAGTAACATATTGGGACGGAACAGGTCATCTAGTGCTTCCAGATTTCTTATGGTAGTCCAGTTTACATTGAATCATGAATTTTTCGTGTCATGTAGGTAACCCTCGTGCTATTGATAGAAGAAACCAGACTAGCAGTGAATAGGTTCTTATTTAGATCTTCGCGCAGTTACAGTGGAGCGTGGGATTATCTGTTCACACAAACAAAGCCTCTCAACATTCATTATAAGATAATAGGAAATATAACGCCTATACAAAGTAAGGAAGTGAATGAATACTTGAACAATACTGTTTTGACATATGCTTAGTTGTTTGAGGTCAACTATTAACCAATCAACCTAAGCTGTTACTTTAGCTTCCCCCTAGAATCGATCTCCGTAGGAACGTTGGTTCGATTAACCTATCTGTCAAAAACACGTTAGTTCTGTTTTCGCAGCCCAAAAGAAAATTATCAACCAACTCACTGTCTGACTTCCAGTCAATGACAACTAACTCCGTTAGCAATCAACGACAGTCCATGAATGTCTCTTCATTTGCTAGCTTATCATCTTATTTTATAGCATTTAATTTCTTCTACAACTATCACCGACAGTTTGCTATGTGCTCGCAAGAGAAAAAAAGTGTGAAAAACCGAAACAAGAATATCTGAAGAAGTGCCTTGAGCGAGCTCCTCAACACTATATTGATGAGGTACAACTTTTCCATACTCTATCCGGCTATCAGATATTTATTCATCTGCCTATTGAATCACCATTCAATTGAATCATCATAATCTCTATTCTAATAATATCACTGAATACACTCATGTTTATATGTTCTGTTTATACTGACCGCTAGTTAAATGTAAACAAGTTCAACTGAATAACATTTGACAATTCGTTAAATGAACATAATATACAATGTTATTATTAGATTAAACCATTATGACCAATAAATGTAACCAATTCAATGAGCTTTTGTGCTTATTACAATACACATATACATATATACAAATTGGCCTAGTATAATAGTACATGATTCATTGTTTTAATAAATAGTTCTGATTACATGTATCATGTATTCATTGAATTCAGGTCAAAGTCCCTTAGTAACTATACTAATTCATTAATTAATGGTTTCCTATTCATATCAAGTAAAAATCATTTGATACCACCCCTTCCCCCCCTTTCCCCCCTCCCGCCGCCGTATATTCAATTGAATCTCTCTCTATATATAAAGTTCAAACAAACAATTAAATGATGTTCAATTAAACTTGGTAGATTCTCATTATTATACAATGACAATTATATACAAATCGTTTTTATTATCATTATTAATTCTATCATTAATGATTACCCAAGAAATTACATGTTTTCTAGGTATGTTATCAATTTGTTTAATATAGATAATATAAATGATAGAGATTTACTATGTTTGGATCTATGTATAGACTAGTACTATACATCTAGTTTGTATTATATAGTCGTTAAGCAATTAAGTTATGCATATTCATATCCTTCCTATTATAAGCTTTATTTTAACCTATAGACTAGTGTTATATGATTTACCGTCTATTAATTACCGTCTCCCACATTCACAGCTACATTTGGCTGAATCTTGTACAAGTGTTATTTTCTAATTAATGGTACGATGTGGTCTGTTTGCTTAGTAATATAAACACAATATGTTTGAAATAAATGATTCATATCGTAGAGGCTGAGATTGGTGTTCTGTATTGTAACAGATAGGGCTATCCAAGAAGAAGGAACGATACGGACTCTAGACTACTTATACAGGTTTTATGCATCATTGGTCTGGTTGATAAATCACTAGTAGTGGTCAGTATTCAGTATCATCCTTAAACTTCGTATACTATTCGACCGGATAACCGTTACTAGATAAAACGCCCCAATCGTGTATTAATCAGATGGTGAATACGAAGTTTATTATTGCACCACGCATAGATCATTAAAATTACAGATACCTTAAGTAAGTATGAAAGTGTAGTGCCGAAATGCAAACAAACAAGCGAGTGAGCATGTGAGTCGAATGAGCGAACGAACAGGATTAAAATGTACATATATGTAAACATAGCGAAATGAATGAATTATCGAATCAATGAAGCTGCTAATTGTAAGGCTATCAGAGTGAATATATGCATAGTCAGTAAGCAATACTCAAGCATACACATTCGTACAAGTGAAACAATACTAAAGATACAATGATGTAAGGATAAGATGTTATTGTACGGATGACTCTGTCTGTTAAGTAGGTTAACAAAAGGGCTTAACTAAGTTAAATGTCAACAAACTCAGTTCGAAATGAGCTGTTATACACTGTTCTCTAATTGGCGGTATCATTACGTTATATATATATTTATAGGGTATAAGAGCGAGACTATAATTTATGAACGAATCAATCAGATTTACGATAACAGGTCTTGGATTTTGGCACGAGATCATTCATCCATTTGGCTAAATAGAGTTTTGGCATTATAGCTGATGTCAGTTCGTTATGAGAAACCCTAAAATCTAATTCCTAACCTATAACCATCAACTGTAAAGCATAATTCTTATTCTTTAAACTGATTTATAACCCTCATTTAACCGTAGTAAGTAGGTAGACACTCTCAAGATCACTTTAGCGTTGCTCAAATGTCGTCCATAAATTATGGTCTCACCTCCACAAGTTATAACATTATCTACACTTAAGAACAGCATATTATAGATAGTTTTTTTAAAATTTTTACAGTGATGTTAATAGGTCATTTCATATTTGTGATTACTTTGGTTAAGTAAAATCCAGGATGTATGTGAAATACGATCAAATCAATGACAATCTATATTCTATGCATCCAAATCTGTATAACAAATCGACCTTTCCGACTAATCATATTACAGTTTGGAAGACTCTTCCAGTCTCCCACATTGTACGAATATTCCATGTACCTAAATAAATGTTTGCTCTGGTTGTCAGAAGTAGCATCAGCCTCGTGACTTCCAAAGGAACTCGGCTTTCACCATGAGGCGTCATAAATCTTCTAAATGAAGACCTTCTGACTCCCAGGACAGAGTTTAAATGGTCTGAGTAATTTTTGCTGGTAAGCATTCTTTTAGCTAGTTAGTTTTCTACGGGATGGGCTCGCTAACCCCATGTTCAACCCTCTTCCTTTATCTGGAGTTGAGACCGACAGTAGCCCCAGAGTTGCTCCAGGCGTAGTTATATTACAGTTCAGTAGTGTTAAAATGATTGACAAAAACCATCATTCATGATTCTTTCAATTCTGTTATTATTACAATTCATCTCTGTTTACATTTATAGTTTCTTCAATACAATTTTCTCAATCTTCTGCTACCATCCATCCATTGATGTTACACACTACTCATATCTGTTAACATAAGTAGTATACCTCATAAATTTATTCTTCTCTGTTATTCTTTATATTTTTAGGCTTAAAATGTGTAGAAAAAGGTGAAAAATGTACAAAAACGTTATTCAAACGCTGTTGTGAAAATCTTGTATGTCAACTTCAAGGACCATTTAATGGAATATGTGTAGATTGTTTAAGTTTGGAGTCAGCTTGTATTGCAGATCATGAATGTTGTAGTAAACGGTGTTATTTGTTTGCCTGTAAACCACCACTTTAATACATTTATATTCATTATTTACGGTTTAATTTGTTTGAAATGATGAAATGTATCATGTTTCTTTTGAAATAAAAGAAGTATTCATTGCTGTTCAGTTGTTATCCTAAGATAGATCCGTTGTAAACAACGTTTCTGAATAGTCAAATCATACTCTGATTCCCATAACATTTATTTATTAATTTTAATAGTTGAAATCATGAGTCAATTGAAGCTAGAACACCATGGAAAACCTGAAAGCAATAGATAGCCATTTTGTTCTAGTATAGGACTCTTCAGCAGTGCGCATCCACGATCCCGCACCCCGCGAGATTCGAACCCATGACCTATCAGTTTTACCGTTGTACCAATTCATGAAGTGTTCTTTGGAACAGGTGTTATGAAACGTCGTATTGCATAAAAATGACTCGATTAGAATGCAAATTATTCCTATACCTAAACGTTTTATTTACTCATCACTAACATACATTGATGATCACTGAGATCAGAAGACCCCATATTTTGTCAGCGTATATTGTATATCTTTTAGCAGTTCACTAAGAGATCAACAGTAATTCATTACTTTTAATGAATGTGAATTTTAAACAGTAAACATCGTTTAGATATCATATAAATATATGTGAATCCAAGGATTAAGAAAGTAAGGACATCATTCCTACAATTGAACAACATATGGAACTCAAAACAACTGTGAACCAACATTAAAGTCACAGTCTTCAATACGAACATCAAGACAGTTCTACTGTATGGAGCTGAAATTTGAAGAACTACCACAACCATCATCAAAATGGTACAAGTATTTATAAACAGTTGTCCACGTAAGATACTCATTATCCGGTGACTGAATGCCATGAGCAACAGTCTACTGTAGGAGAGAATAAACTAACTTCCAGCTGAAGAGAAAATTAAGAAAAGACGTTGGAAGTGGATAGGAAATACCTTGTGGAAATCATCAAACTGCATTATGAGGTAGACCCTAACTCGGAATCCTGAAGGGAAATGAAAAAAGAACACAACACGTCAGGAATAGGAGGCAGACATGAAAAGGATGAAAATCAACTGTAAACAACTTGCAACGATCGTTCAGGACAGAATTGGATCGAGAATACTGGTGGTTGGCCTATACTCCTCGACGAAGAGTAACAGGCGTAAGTAAATATTATTTGATTACCTTGGAAAAACTGAAACAATTGGGCATCATATTTCGGATTATTGTTGTCTATAATCCTATTGTGTGTAATGAATTTGTAGATCACTGCAACTTAGCATTTCTCCATTTCTCTTATTGTGGGCTTTCATTGTTGTTCTATATATTAATATTCCGTGATTATTGCTAACTGATTATGTATTATTTGCCTTACACTTAACCACTTATAATCTGATTGGGTTTAAAGTATAATTTCTTATTTAGTGTATTATATAGTCATCATTTATGTGAATCGTATTATTGTATGAGTTTTGAATGATGATTGAATTAAACAGAATAATAGATAACCAGTTGAATTAAATGAAATTAAATGAGATGGATTAACTCCTCTTGAAGGCAGTCTTAGGCTACTGCCTGTCTCAAACCTCGATAAAGGACGAGGGTTGGGCATGAAGTTAGCGACACCATCCCGTAGAATATACATATATATATATACGCTGTGTTATGAAATGTGTATACCATATACATGCTAGAATTTACATGTATGTAGTGACCTACTTTTACCAGTAGAACGCGATTGGTCTAATGGAAACAATCATTATTATAACCAATTGTACCAGTGATTGTTTTACTGTGCTAAAGACAGCCATATTCCTACTCCATTACTCTCCATTACTTTTCCGCGGATTGTGACCTCGTACGTTCGTACTCTTGCCCGCTGATTCCACTTGTACTCTTCTGGCACGATCTCGGTATCCTTTCTATACCACGAGATCACCAACGGATAAATCTGGTTACATTCAGTCTTCGCCTTCTGATTTATTTGGTACACGTTTCCCTGTAGTGGTGCTCATGATCAACCTCGATTCGACACCACTCTACATGTAATCGATTTTTAGATTACTCAATGATTACTGTAATCTTTTGAAACTATATAGGATTATTTGTCGCTGAAATGCTAAGAAATATCTAATGTTTTCATTAGAATTTGAAACGATTTTAAAGAATCGAACGGAGATTAAACGTAACCATCAGTCGATGAAAATTATATTTCACATTATCGGAAAGGGATTTTGTAGAGATTGTAGTAGTTTAATAGTTGAGTTCATGAGTTAATTGAAGCTAAACTAACAATGAAAAGCTTCAAGCACTGTAGGCCGTTTCATCCTAGTATGGAACTCATCAGCAATGTGCAACTACTATCCAGTGCTTCCAAGTTTTCGATGTTGAACTCAACTATTAAATTACTACAATATCCACAAAATCCTCTTTCTGATAATAATCATCATGTGCTCATTAGTGACTGCCTCCAACAGGTATTTCTTGAAGTTCTAGTGAGGAGGCGTGACCAATGAAGTTCAATCACCTCTGTTGTGAGGCAATTACTCACTGAAGACAAAGGTGGACAGTGCCGAAATTTCGTGAATTGGTTGAAATGAGACATTAACACCGTTGGATGCCAGCTAATTGGTCTAGAGGAGAAGCGTTCTTAAGTGAGACCGAAGGTTCTGGGTCCGAATTCGGCCAGTGGAATCGTGGATGCGCACTGTTGGGAAGTCCTATACTAGGATTAAACGGCCATTCCGTGCTTCCAAGTTTTCAGTGGTGGTCTAGCTTCAATTGACTCATGAAATCAACTATTAAGGATTTCATATTTCTGTCTAATTTCACTTCATAACAACAGATTGTGAAGTATTTTGTTTGCAATGAACTGTAAACTAATCACCTTATAATCGCAATTCATTTAGTTTATTATAATGCAAAACGTACACAAACACATGCGAAATTCAATGATCGATAAGTCCCTTAATCATATTGATTATCTATCAATACACTACATTTCTATGAACATGAGCTTTCATCCAGTTAATTACCAGTCTATTAAGATTACTGATAGTTTAATATTTCAGTAGTGTTGCAACGATTTGAGTCAACTTGCATCACATAGATTGTCATTCATTAACTATCAAATGACATATTCCAATATGATTGCTCTTATACATCATACTGTCAGGATTTTCAGCCATCAATTATTCAGATTTAGGGTAAAACTGTGCTGCCAATACAGTTGAACGACGTCGTGATAACCTTACATCTGGGATTGATGAATTATTTGATGAAGAATGTGTATATTGTTTGTCAGTGAGATCATATGGTTATACAGACTACAAAAGCGGTAATAGATGGTATCATTTGTCTAGCTGTAAATCGTCACAAGAGTAAATCTCATAATTCCTGATGAATTAGGGTGTTTGGAATGTTACAAACTAGTGAAATGTGTCACATTTCCTTTGAAATAAAGAAGTATTCATTATTATTCAGTTGCTGTTATAATGAAATGCGTTTACTTGATGATCTTTCGGCATATTCACAGTATACCCTAATTCATTAGATAATTTATTCAATGGGCTCTTGAATGATTTTAACATGAAATCAGAGCATCGATTATGAAATCTGAAACTTTGATAATAGTTTCATCACTGTACAATTTCATATGGTATTATGAGAACATGTCTTACGAAATACCTTTTTCTACAGATTTGTCTTTTCAATGAATTCCCCTAAATGAATAGAACTATGACTACTGATTGAGATCATAAGTCGATTGATCTTAGACCACCATTTGAAACCTGGAAGCACTGAACGACCGTTTCACCCTAGTATGGGACTCCTCAACAGTGCGCACCCACGATCCCGCACGCGGGATTCGAATCCAGGGCCTTCGGTTTCTCTTTGGAATGCTTAATTAGTATACCACTGGGCCGAAATCTGACGATGTTAATGTCTAACTTCAACCAATCCACGACGTCCCGCGACATCGTGGATTCATTGATGGTCTAACATTATTCGGTTCATGATTTCAATGAAATACATATATGAAATGTTTGCAAACCTCAGCTCCCTAGATATCTGTGGGGATTAACGCATCTGTATGTCTGGAAACAGTTACACTTTAGATAAACAATATCATTCAAACCATTTCCATTGTTTAATATAGTTATCTATTTATAAATGAATACTTGAGATGGTATCCATCGGTACGTTCCATATTTGGTTTTTAATACTACCGTCGGAAAAGATGAACGTGCAGAGTAAGAAAGATTTAAACACAAAAGAAATTGGGAGAGGCATAAGTGTTTTATAATATCCACTTTAGGTTTCAGGTGATCCAGTTGTCGGCCAAGTTAAACTTAGAGGCTGAATATACCTCTTCTAGTTACATAAGTTTGGTTTTCTGGAGTTGATCCAAATGGCTTCAGCTATGTAAAGTAGCCGTAATCTAGTTCATTGAGGTAGATTCTTTGGAACTTGAAATAAAACAGAGAAAGCCTCATCTATTTTGACATGATGTTCACAATCTACCAAGTGAGAAGAAATAGTACTGTTGATCAATTTGACAACCCTTTTTCCCAACCATGCTGGTACATGTTCATGAACACGCAAAGATAAAGCCCTCCGAGTACGGCCTATGTAATTAGCTCCATAGGATCGGTTGAATTGGTATACACACATAGAGGGGTCCATAATCAGTAACCTATCCTTGATTTGTTGTGTAAGTACTGGGTTTTCTTGAGAAAGTTATGTGTAACTTGTCAGCGTTAAACGTCCTTTCAACAGATATTTTGAGTCGATAGGGTAAAATGTCAACAGCTATCTCCCCTTTAAAGTCCAGTCTAAGATGTAGGGTGTTTTGCTAATCGACTCACAGTTTCTTCTTTTGTTTTGATACCTTCTAATAGGAAATTTCCGACGAAATGATCTGAATAGCCGTTATTTCGTAATGTGTTCTACAGTGTATCTATTTTACTATCTATATTCTCTTCACAACATAATAGTTTGATTCTGTGGATGAGACATTCAATCAAATTTATTTTATATTGAAGACGTATGAAGCTTTGAAAATGGGTATACTGACCAATGCATGTATTCTTTCTAAATATATTTCTTTG